ATACATTTTTTTTTCCTGTTTCAGGAAATTGTCAATGATTTTTAATTATATACCCCCCAATTTGAAATGATAAATCATGTCTTTACATCTTGGCTCACAGCTATAATCGCTGTGCCCACATGGGGAGAATGGAATGCAGGATTCTGTCCCAGTCATACAGTACATCATGTCTTTCTTTACAGGCTCTGCAGAGACATATAGTACAGAAATTCAGTGCTGATTGGAGAAGAGCTGCATTCTCCACTGACATCACTGCCAGCTTGCAGGTAGCAGGAAGAGTTTTGCTGTTTTGCTGATACTCAAGAGAGCTGGAACTAATTTGGCTGATTAATTTCAATCCTGCCTCTTGCGGCACTGAGCCAATTTCACACTATGGAGCCAGGTGCAAACTTCAATATCTAGAAGTACCAGTTAAGACACTTGGTGTCTCTATATTATTTTTTGAATGAAACAAACACAAAAATGTCAGTACAGAATGTTGTTCGAACAGTCCCGTTCATAAACCTGTGTATTTGACTTCATACCTCTTTTCTTGACAGGGGCATCACTTCCAGTTTTATATGACTGGGCATGATCTGGAGTTGTAGTGGATAAAAGCATGACAAGAGCATGGAAGGAAGCAGGATAGGAAAATGTTAATCAAAGCAAAAGCAGCACAGAGCACAGTGGAATGATGATGAAGGATAGTGTATTGTTACATATGACATGTGAACGGGATATACAAATAAAATGAGAAAAACTGTTAAAAAATATATGGACAGCAAATTAAAAATCTAGAGTTTAAAGTTGAACAAAAGTGACAAATGGATTTAATATAATGTTAGTTGGTATATTCACTAAGGGACTCAATACATGTACTGTATTTAAAATCCTTAAAGGCATTAATACTGTAAATTCAGCTGAGTGGGTTACTTCAGAAGGGGTTGAATCTGGAATAAGTTATCCAGCCATGTGGTTTAAGAAGACACTCAGGTTTCTTTAACCAAACAATTGTATGAGATGGACCAATTAACTACAAACTACTAAATCCGCCATCAAAAGGCTACATGAACTGAAAAGCCTCTTCTCATTTGTAACCTTTCTTTTGAACTCAGTGAATATGCTGTACTAGTATTAAATCAACTATTATTAAAAATGAAATTGATTTTTTCATTCAATATCAATATCTAAATATCCCAATATCCCACCAGTAAAAGTGAAGAAACTTTGCTTCAATTTGTTTAAACACCTGGATTTTTTCCTACTAGAGATTATACATTTTTTGGTTAAATCTATGACTGAATTTTCCAAGTGAGCACACGATGCCAAAGACTGTGAAACAAAGCCTGAAGCTAAAGAGCAGCAAATATGCAATGACTCTTTTTTCACTTTGTTTTTGCACGTACAATTACAACTAAATTGATATAAAAAAATCAACAGCAACTGTGTTTTGTTGATTTGCTACAGTACAGTAGGTGTAAGACATTGTTCTTCTGTGACACAGGAAATAAGATGTTTTCTTTGTTCTTGCTGTAGCTCTGGAAGAGAGGTGGAAGAGAGAAAAACTTCTTACCCTGCCCTGAGGCTGGTCCATTTGTTATTTTTGATGTCTTCATTTCCAAAACCCAAAATGCTCAGGGTGAGTAATTCTCAGGAGCTGTGAGGTGGAAAGACAGAAACACTGGGAAGTGTGCAGCTCATGGGTTTGTTTCAGATAAGTTTACCACCATGTCAGTTTCATGTTTGCACAAAGGTGTATAAATAGGGCTGCAGGCAACTGAAAGGACAGTGACCATCAAAGAAATGTTGCACATTGAATTTCAGCTGTACAACCTTGTAGATTAAACAAAATAGGGAATTTTGATTTCCCTTTCAGGACCTCAAAGGCAGGAACAACCACTGTGTGTAAATGAGCACTAGACAGGCTGATTTTTCAAAAATGCTAATTGAGAACCCTTCTTTATGTGTTCACTTCCTCTATATGTTGTAGCATTAAAAAGGTACTGTTATGAGAACATACACTTTCTTGCTTTAGACAGGTTTTAAGCAGCATGATGAAACATGATGTTGTATTTGATAATAAAACAAACAATTGACAAATAATTGCACTGAAATGAATTGTAAGTGAGCAGAAAATCATGATCCAGTAAACTTGTTTTTGTGGAAACAAGGGCAACTACCTTAAGTAAGAAAAGAAAAGGTACTATAAGAAAAGACTGTTAATTCATGAACGTTAAGCCACAGATCATTTAAATTTAAATAAGATCTAAGATGATAGGTTGGACCCATTGCAATGGCCAACCTGTGGTGATACAGCAAGATAATAAATTACTTTCCTGACTACATACTGTATAGAACTGCAGATGTACAATACACTTTATTAGCTCAAATGTTTTACTGTTAAAGGTCTGTAGGTGTCACTAAAGGCATGCTGTTTGCACTGTTATTTTGAAAGACTAAATTTGTCCAGTTGAAATTGCATGGTGAGAGACTGAGGTAAAAGTGTGGAAAACATTTTCCAATGAGAACAACATTTTCCAATCCACACTTTTCATTCACTAACCATTTCAAGAACCTTTTGTGCAATGCAAACACAGAAGATAATGGCAGGCTTATTTTCACGTTTTGGCATTGCACCAACATGCTGTTCTTTTCTCCAAACATGTCATGTTTTACATCCTTTGAAATGAATCAGATAAAAATGATAAAATCCATTTAAACAACAAAATATGATTTAACACACACACAAAAAAAACTATGTACTTGTGTCTAAGCACATCACACAACAGAAAAATTTAACCTACTACAGAAAAGAAAAGTTATATATCTGAAAAATAATGTCAGATGTTTGGGGACTACGAAGACAAGAAACAAAATAAGATGCTTTGTGAAAAAACATCTGCCCCATCCACATAAATCTCAAGGACTAATCCTGAAATGGAAGGAAAGTTGAAGTAAACATATTAATTGTAAATGTACAAACCTAAATGTACAGTTTGTGTCACATAACGCATTTTTTCTATCAGTTCATCAGAAATAATGACCAGCACTTCTAGTTCTTCACACCACTCTTGATCGGGTGGGGCACCACTGTATGGCTAAGTTATAAAATACCAACAGGGGTGCTGAAACTAAAGAACAATTTGTCTTCCAAGGCCTTGCACAGTCAACAGCAAATGTCATTAAGCTGTCGGCCTTGCCACCAACCTCTGTATTGAGGTAATAAGTCTGCTGAAGGAATTCAATGTTGACATGTTTTGAGTAAACCCTGGACTTGCTTTGGTCTCTACTAAATTGCAAAGAGGAATTTAACTTACTGTAGGACCTAGAGCTAGAGCTGCACAACAAACATACTGTATATAGATGGCAAAAACAATTTCAGAAAGCAATCCTTTTTAAGAAAGTGGTGAAGAGATTACACACCACTAGACTCCTATAACAACATGTTTCTATGTTCCCCCCTCTCAGCTGATGTGATGAAAAGAATGTGCTGAAACTTCAACATGCTGTCCATTTTCAATCTTTTTCAATCATCTCAACAGTTCTCCATTTCCAATCTTCATTTTGATGTCACTGCTGGTGAAACGTATTTTGTTTCCAAATAGTTTGTAAACATGAAATTGACAGTAAGGGGTTGAAATACTCTTATAGAATGATGTGAAACTGCTTTTTATTAGAAACCAGTATTGCTCTGCAATACAGTACGTATTAACTGAGTACCTACAACTACAGCTGCAGAACACACAGATATCGATGGCAAAAACAATAGCAAATGTCATTCCTTTTTAGGAAAGAGGTGAAGAGATTTTTCTTCCCTTACATACTTGTAAAAATAAATCCAGAAATATACTGTATCATTGTCAGTTTTATGTCCCTAGACCTGATCTTAAAAAGATCTAACTTTAACACATTGCTGTTATTGATTGCAGTCGCTTTGTGTAAGAAATGATTTAGTACTTCCCCCAAATAACTATATGTATAGCTGCATATACATTTAGTTGTTTTTTTTATTCTGATGTTTGTGGTTTAAAACTATAAACAAAGAGAACTGGTTACCTTAGCCAAGAGCAAAACACATTTTCGTTGTACCTTTAAGGAAATAGTAACCTACTAAATTTGATTACTTCTTTTCAACAACATTGAATAAAGCATTTTCTGGTCCCTTGTGAGCTATTTATCCCAATCATTAAAGACAAGGCTTGTTTTAGTTTTCTTTCTGTTGTATTAGCTGCTGAGCTCTCAAATGCAGCATTATCAATAGTCTTTACTACATCAAGAAACTATCTCTTCTCCTCCTACTATTACCATTTCTTCCTATATGTGTTTGACCAGAAAAGATCTCTGACTCATTTAGTAATAAAAATATATTAGGGCGTGGAATAATGTTATGTTCTGGAGGGTTAATTTAAAACTGTAAGTAAACACATATATGATATTCTATGAGATCATGAGATATTTAGCAAGTCTGTTGCCAGTGTCAGAAAATGTACCCTGGGCTTTCTATGCCTGTGATAGGTCACATACCTCATAAATTAAAACACACTATAACAAACAGGAGTCAGAACTCAAGGGACAGCTGGTAATGTGGGATTAGCAGACCTTTGATAAGGGAACAGGAAGAATCCTGGCTTCTTCCTTTTGCACACCTACAGCATGCCCTTGGCGAATCTCTAGCGGAAACAAACACTTAAAATCATTACTCAACATTTGCAAATTCTGAGCAAAATCTAAAAGATTTGATGTATAAGGGAAGAAAATGTATTCTAATGTGAACTGAGTAATTTAAATTGTAGTCAGATATTAGAGTACTGTACAGTATGTGAACATTATTACATTTTATGTGGATTTTGAATACTATTAGACCTATATTAATATTAAAATATGTCTGCTTAAATATAATACTACATTTTCTGTGATTTATATTTAAACCTCTGGAAATGTTTATTATAAGCACAGTTTGAATTATAAGGTATTTGACTGTATATTGCAATTTTGAATCATATAGTGTCTGAGTGGCTACCAGTGAAAACAAAACGTATGACAAAGCTGAAGTAGGCTTTAGAGGCTCAGTGTCTATTCAGTTATGGGACTAATATGTAGATAAGACATCTGTTTGCTGGAGTCTTGAAAGTCTGTGTAGAAAACAGCTTTAAATTATACAGTTATTATTTTGTACATTTTTTTAATAATAGAAAGTACATGGGCTATTGTCAAGACTAAAAACTAAGTCAGTCAGAGAGGAGGCAACATATTTGCATATACTTTAAGAAGTGGAAAGAATAGTAATGTTAGAGGCTTGGTCATCTTTTATATAAGACAACCATTGCAGAGTGACCAATGTGTATTAGCAAAAAAACAGAATGATTAAAAATTATTCAAATACATCCAACAGTATCTGTGTACACTCTAGAAAATTTCCATTACTTAGTTTTCAAATCATTAAATTTTTTTTTTTTTTCAGAATAAGTCACGTTTCACATTACCATTGTGGTAGTGGTACATATTTTCTAGACAATATTATGTATATGTGTATATAGTGTAAACAGTAATATGTATTTGATATAAGAACCCTTGAAAACCTGCTGGAGTAATTACTTAATTATTGTTATGCATTTTCATTTTAATGTGAATTAACAATACTGTGTGAGTTTAGAAATCTCATTATAAAAGAACATCACCACTCTGCCCTAACTTATAATCTTCATAAGTAATTTTGGATCTTTCAGTAAGATTTCAAATGTCTGTGTACAAAAATCACAGAGCACTTATTTTTGGAAGACACTGCTTATTCATCTGAACACAAAGCCAGTTTAACAGAACTGTACATCCATTCAGATATACTGTAGGAAAGTCCATTTTTAGTCACTTTTCAGCATTTTCATTTGGCATTATATATCTCATGATTCTAGCTATATTAACATATAATAAATCCTTTCTTGACTAACAGTATAACATACTGTATGTGTTTAGAAATAAAAGAAACAATAAAGCCATGTAGAGAGGAAAGTGTCCCAAATGAGTTGCCTATCAACGTTTTTAACAACTCTCTTCCGTGTAGGGTACTGTGTCAGTGTATGAGCTGCAAAGGAAGAAGTAGAAGTTATTTTAACTCTAAGAAGTAAATATAAAGAAGAAAAATATATTGCTTGGCCTGTGGAGCCTCTTCAGGTTTTTGATACCTTTCTTCACAGCCCTGAAGAAGGTTTCATGGTTGAATCGTGGTCCATTCATCCGTTTTCTAACCTCTTTACTCTTTATCCAGTTCAGGGTTGTGGTGGAGTAGGAGCCTATGTCAACACATTATGAGCCAAAGGCAGGATACTCCCTGGATTGGATGCCAGTCCATTGCAGGATAGACACAGACACAAACACATCACTCAGTAGATTAATCTACCACTGGTAGTACCAGTCTGCCTTTGGGAGGAAACTCAAGCACCCAGAGGAAACATGGAAAGATACCTGAGTAGAACTTTCAAACTCCACATAGATCGCACCAAAATAGAACTCAGGGCCCTAGTGCTGCAAGGCAGCAATCCTAACCACTGCACCGCTGTGCCACCCCATGAAAGATCGTGTTTTTTATATTGCTTTTTATTTTTCAATGTAGAGCTTACCTCAGCTTATTTCTTTGTAATTCACTCTGATGTCTTCTGTGTATCAAGCCTCTCAGCCCTCTCCGTCCTAGAATTAAATAAACACACAACCCTTGATTGCAATCTGTCTCATTCAGAAGTAAGTCTGTGCCTCCAATTCACCTTAATTGTGTCAGACAAGTTATGCAGATTTTGATTTTGGAACATGGTCATGGTTTTTCCAAAGGGCAAAACTATTTATACAGGATGACTTTTCTGTAAGTCTATTTGACACTACTTTACTGCAAAGGAGGTAAGGTTTTTCTAATGGGTAAGGAGCACTTGATGAAATATGATAACACATGGCAGCTGTCATGGGGGCAAACTCACTGCAGTAAAGTCAGTATACTGTACAAGTTTAAAGGTGTTACAGTGAAACAAAAGGGGTAGAATGAGAATTTCCATCAAAGTGAAATCATTATTCCTTTGAGTAAGGAAACAGAAACACAATTTAATTTAGAGACAAATTTTGTTGAAGGTCTGTAATTGTGATGTATTTAAACAAACACAGCTAAATATGGAATAAAACCATTATTTCTTCAGTTCAGTTTTTCAGCAAGCTAATACTGTACAGTATATTACATGAACTGCAGTAAGGGAGAATTTTATTACTACAGTATACATGTATATGTAACCTACAGGTTGCATTTAAGTAAAACCTGTTTGCAAAACTGTTTGGTGTTTTCATTCATTCTTACAGGTAAAAAGTATTTAGTTGATATGCATCAATTAAAAAATGCTCTTGCCTGCAATTAACTTTTCACTCAAAAATGCTATCATTAGGGCTAGGTGCTGTTATATTTCCTTTTTCAATGTTTTATTTGCGTTATCTTCAATATTGTGGAAAACAAAATATCATGCTCATACCACTATTCCTTGCAGTGGTAAACACAGCCCTTCTGCATGTATTACCATTGCATGTTCTAGATTATCACATTCACTTCATTGCATGTACTGTACTGTACCATCAGCTGCTCGATACCTTCAGCCTATTTGAATTTTCAACCTAGCCAAAACTGTAGTAAGTATACCTATTATACAAGACACTCAGACTCACAGGCCACTCATGGCAGTGTTACAGTATAGCACTTTCAGCTTTGTGTCCTCATTCACTGCAGGCTGCTAAAAGCAATAAGATTGTTTTGACCCCAAAAGAACACTTGTGACTGTAACCAGTACTAATTGTACTCTAAGATACTGAATAGCTATCACATAACAGTCCACAAATCTTTAATTAATTTAGAATGACTTAGTCATTAGCAATTCATTCATTGGTTATCTCTTGAAGTCAAGGATGATTTTCTTCCACCTACAGTACTTGAAGGTTACTGATAAGACCAATGTGGGATATTCAAAATCACTATCTCAGGAGATATCTGGTCATACTGTATATATGCAATCTGGTCATTGTGAGCCCACTTTGATCTTCTCCCTTTGCTTTTAAATTTTAACATCTCTGGGTTACAAAGTGATGAGCTTCTTCCCAAATATTTTTCCTCTATTAGTCTTGTTAAGGGGCAGAATATCCCATGTCTTGATAGTGATACTTCATTTTTTATTATTTTTGCTAAATCTTGGCAATATTCCTTCTGCCCTCCTCTCAGATGATTGCCTTGGTTAAAATGGGAGAACAGAATATTTTCAGGAGGCTGGATTCGGATTATAGTGACATCGAGATTATATTGACCAACTCAATACTGGGTGATCACAGCTTCAGTCTCTATTACAGTATATCTACATATCTACTATCAGTTGCTCTGCTGTTCAACTGGTTGCCAAAGCTTTGTTTACTCGGTATGGTGAATATAGGAATCCTAATAGATTCATGGTAACTGAAGTATCTTTGGGACTGAAGGTATCACTTTGTCTATACTGGCCCTGTATTATTATACTTTTTGCCCAGGTCTTACTGCATAGATGAAGGCTGGACTTTGGAAACCTAATATTAGTAACATTTACTGAATAACAGCAAAAATAACAACAGCAATAAGAACTAACCATTGTGTATTTTATCACAAAACTAACAGTTAAAACAAGGAACAAGTAATAGGTTTATTCCATGCTGAAAAGAGGAGAAAGAAAACACAATATTTCTTCTTCAGGTGTTTTCTTTCTTCTCTTTTCAACATGGAATAAACCTATTACTTGTTCCTTTGCAACCCACCTGAACTAACTGTTAAAAAATGTCAATTAATACTTTCCATTCAAAGCTGAAAGTTCAATTCATTTTTTTTATCGAGTATAGTTCTTTATTGAATTGCCACACAAATCATTAACCAATAGATGTACATCTAGAGTTTAAAACTAGAAACTCGTAGGCACAGAGGAGGCAAAAACTAAAAAAAAACAAAAGAGAATAATAAATCTATAAGATGCAATGTCCAATGGGTTTTTCTGTTCATTTGGATGACAATCAAGAAATCCAGTGGTTAGTTTATCAAGTGATCAATGAGCTTCTTCAGACTCTTATAAAGGGTTATAAAATTGTAGTAGTTGTGGCCCATGTCTAGTCAAACCCAGTTTGTCTAGTCTACCATCTAAATTTTGTAATAATTTATTCCAAGAACACATTATAAAACCTTTCTTATCCTAAGCATGTGCATTTTTATAAAATGATTTGAAACTTGAGTCCATCTATCCATTTTCTTAACTGCTTCATCTAATTCAGGGTTTAAAGCCAGTCCTGGCAAGCAACAGGCACAAGGCAGAGTATACCAATCCACTGCAAGGCAGACACAAACACACACTCACACCAGGGCAATTTTCCTAGAAGTCAATTAATCTGGCAGTAGCACATGTGAAGAACATGTGGAGAACATACAAACTGCATGCAGATAGCAACCCAGCTCCAGAACTGGACCCAACACCCCAGGTCTGCAAGACAGCAATGATAACCACTCTGCCACTGTGACAGTAACGTGAATCATTTATGATTAAAAGATACAGAAAAATACACTTAACACCACAGTCCTGGCACTCTGCAGACTGCTAATCCACTTCTTGATTTAGTTCCAAAAACTCACAATGTCCCTTCCACCTTTAGTCTCCCAGCATTCAGCTCTCAAATTATTCTAACTCCTCTCATGTGACAGTCAGACCATGCATGTGGGTCACATGTTGATGTGCTTTTTAATGAAGATAGACATCATAATGGTTTTAAAGGAGTACAGGGAGTTAAGAGTGTGAGCTGTGAAAAAGTATCACAAACCAGGAGCTAACAGATCTCTCCAAGGTTTTTCTTTTATTTTGGCTGCACAGCACCAATTCTAATACTTCAGGTTATGCAAAATATCTTTAATTTTCAAGTTTAAAAAAGAAAATCTAAAAATTGTATATGTGGGAATTTACTGTAATTAATAAATACTTTAGGTATGATGAATGTTCTGTGGTTTCTCTTATTTTGCCCCCAAGTTAATTGCAATTTTTCATGTATTTGCTGCTTGTTACAGTACAGTATGTAGTCCTATTTACTGTATATGTATAGTTGAATATAATACAGTAATTAATTGTTACAAATACATTTCACAAAAGGAAATCATAAATAAACACAAAAGAAATTAAATATAATGCATTTTTAGAGAACAGTACTATTTTATCTTAAGAGCAGGAATGGGAATTAATAATCCTACCTTCATAAGTATAAGATACTTCAAAGTGTATAACATTTTATTATAAAGCAAGGTGCATTGTAAATGCACAATCCACACCATACCACACCATAGGTTAAATTCTTCAAATATCTATAGCAATATAAAGTTACTTGGGGATTTCTTTAGCTTTGTGAAAGAGTTTCCTGTTATAGAAGATAATATTTTCTATGCTAATGATTCATTTGATCTGATGGATGTACTGACAATTTAAGTTAACCTATGTGGCCCTTGATAGGCATTTAGTGTAAAGCACAGCTGAAGACAGGCTAGAATACAGGCAATGGAAACCTTTCCCTGTAGAGTAACACAGCATTTTGCAGAGGCCAACCTGGTGATTCCTCAAACCAGTTCAGATATTTTCTAAATAAGGCAAAAAAGGCACTGTAAGTTAAAGTCACAAGCCCCTGATTCCAATAGAGCAAACGCCGAACTAGCTACAATATCAATTGCTGGGAAATAAGTAATTCATAGTTTATGTATCATCTTTAACAAACCACACCTTTCTACTTAAAGTTTAAAACACAAATTTCTACTTAAAAGAAAATCTAGCACTAGGACAACAAACAAGAGACATGCTCATAAACATGTCCAACAGCATGTAATACTGTAGATTCTTTGCAGCTGCATTGCAATACAGTATTGTAAAATGCTAGTGAATATGAAATATAGATTGTTTCTCAATCACAATTTCTCTGTATACTGTATGTGTATAGTATAATATGAGTGCCAATATTACCAGTCGGTATTCAATTCAGCTCACAAGGGACTGATTGAAAAAATATGAATGCAGTATACTCATTTCCTTTCTGTTTACCGTGACAAAATAAATAGGATTCTTGTCTTTAGACTCTGAGATTTTTTTTGTAGTGATTACTGACCATGAAAGAATTCTGTGGTAAATTGTTGAGAAATGTGCTACATCAAATAAAAACTGGATAGTTTTGTACCCACAGTAGACACTCAGTAACTGACATGCAAGGCAAATAAACATTTTTGACAGATGTTATTAATTTACAAATATTAAAAGATATTATAATACATAACATATATATTAGACTGAACCTCAGTTATGGATGGGGGTATTGCTAATTATTTACATGTAATTATGCTATGAGGTTCAGGATAGAGGGGGTTCTTATGATTTACATGTACAGTACCTTTGCAAATCACAAACAACAGGGAGGTGAACCTCTTTTGTTGATTGAAATTATAATTACTTTGAACTAAAAATACATATTAATGAAATGTTAAGACATATAACAATTAAGCCTACAAGTTTAAGTCTGATTAATTTTTATTTTTTAATATATAAATCTTACAGTATGTGTTGAAACTAGAATTTTTAAATGGGCTTCCAATTACCACTGGTGTTAGAAAGAAAAGGCTATAAGTTTTAAACCTATTTATTTTATTTTGAGCAGGGATATTGAAGGTGCTCTGCGTGCACTTTTCTTTTAGTGTAAAGCATTATTCCATTGCTAAAGACATATATTATTACTTAGGAGTTCTTTAATGACAAATAATGCCAAACATATCACAAAACATTATGAAGAAAAGAAGACATACAGTAAATTTTAAACATGGAACAAGACAGATTTATTAAGGTTCTCAAAGAGGTATATCGTACTCATAATGTATCATCATGACAGATGATAAATATAATGGATTTGTTCCTGCCCACACTTTGCTTCAAATTAATTCGTTTTTGAAGTGCATTTTCCTTGTTGAGCAAAATCCTGCATAAGCATGTTTCATAAATATTTGTCTTCATTTTGAAATGTGTAAATGCATTTCTTATTCTCTTTTAAATGCCATTGCTGTTTGTGAAATGCTTGTGACAGGTTCTGCCCACACATATAGCTTGTAAGAAGACTTGTTTTGCTTGGCACAAGCACTAGCTAACTCCACATTAAAGCCGTAAGAAGTTAAATCGGGCCTGTTTTTTACTGACTGGAAGCCATTTTTATCACCCAGGCAGCTGTTAATTGCAGCCACACACAACCCCAGCTGTTGTCGTCTTTATTTGTTGTATCGACACATATAAATGGCAAAGTTATGGATTGATGTTTTAGACAGAAGTGTTGGCATGGCATCTGAACCAAATGAATGTACCTGGAATTCTGAACACTACTCACTGGTCTTAATGTTGTAACCCTGTGTACAACATTAAATGAATTTGTAATTAATTTTCAAGCATTGTTTACTAATTAAATTTAGCAATACTTCTGTGTCAGGGCATCAATCAATTGATCTTATATCTACCTATATGCTATAGGTAGCTTGCAAATCAAAATCTAAAAAGGCAGCCTTAATCTTTCACGAATCCAAGGTTTTTCAAAAGGTTTCAATCTATGAAAAAAGATTGACCAGTCAGTATACAAAAAGATGAATGGAATAAAATCTAATAGAATGTCAATACTGTAGTATTATAAGTATTATAAGAGGAAGAAATCAAGCTCCTAGGTAAAACCAATTTCCATCAAAGCGTTTAGCAAAGCATGAAAATAAACTTTTTCATTGGAAAATTGCTTTCTGCATTTAAATCCATATTGTTTTACGACTTTTCAGGAATCTGCTTGGCCTGCATCTACAGTATGTGGTTGCAAAGATACCTTAATGATTCTGAGGTCTACTTAGGAACACTATAAAATGCATTTCTATAGGTAGATGCATGTACAGTAGTGTTTGCTTGCACAACAACAAAGATTAATTCTGAGATGGTACAAAATACCATAGGATGTCTTTATTAATAAGGACGTTTTAGGAAAGGCATCTGCTATACCCTACTCGTAGGTAAACTAGGCAACTGCCTAGGACCCCAGGCCTGTCAGGGGGCTCCCTTAATGGGAAATACATCATTAATCTGTACCTTCATACTGTATATGAGCAAAAAATTCCCTCCAGTGGTTCTTTGCTGTTACTGCTGTTCTAATCTAGGCTGTTAAATACTGTTAGTTGTATAATGTATAATCATTAGTTGTGAATATAAGTGTAGTAGTTTATGTTGTAGTAGTTGATGGTGGGTAGCTGCATCAGCATACGTAGGCTGCAAAGGAACAAGTAATAGGTTTATTCCATGCTGAAAAGAGAAGAAAACACAAGATTTGGCCGTGGAGCCTTCTTCAGGTGTTTATGTTACTGTCAATGTAGCAAATGAGTCTCATCTTAACTGTAAGGTGACAATATGGTTTCAGCTGCTAATACACTTAATGCTGCTACATCGAATGTTATAATGCTGAACATTTAATTTAGGAAAGTAGTAAATGTTGTGACGATCAATTTTATTAATCGTCATTATATCTAACAAGTAATGAAACATTACAAGTGACTTTTTACTTGCATTGCAAATTATGTACAGTACATGTTGTTTAAAGATTTAAAATTGAAATCTTGTACAGTAGTTGCAACTGGTAATTGACATTGTCCTCCTAAAGGATAATATACAATTTCTATATCTTGTTTGTTAGTTATTTATCATGTGTTCTTCAAAGCTAGTTAATTAATACAAGTTTTCTTGTATTAAAGTAAAATAAGGTTGTGTCAGGAGCTAATAATAGTAGTGTACTGTATGTGCAAATCGTGTTCTGGAGTGGCCCCTTTCCAAGATCTTGTCTAGGGCCCCCAAAAGACTAGGGCTTGCCTTCGCTATATCAAAGATTTAAACACCATAATTTTGTTAAGCAAAATCTTCTTAACTTGTTTGACAGTGCATACCAGTAATTACATTGTGTTTTATAAGCTGCATGTAAAACAACTCACAGACATTGAGCACTTTAATAGGGTGATTCGTTCTGATGAAAGGAATGCAGTTTGATTGGGTGGAAATCTGAAATTGCTATCGTTTTATTTATCCCCTTGCATTTCATAAACTTGCTTACCTGCAACTCCCTCTTAATCCAGTTAAGTGAAGCAATTTCTCACTTTTCTACTTGATCTGCTGAGTAGTGGGGCACAGAAGCTGATGTATTGTACAGTACAGTATGTTATCTAAATGGGTACTACACTTCAGTGGTGAATAAAGAGAGTACCCTCTTTTATGTAAAACATTTTTCCTAAATGACCATTCATGGTCCACAATACCAATGTTTCTTCAGGTACTGAGTTCCAGCTTTTACAGGTTTCGGTGTCAAGAGTTCAAGTGACAAAGAAACCAGAGGACTGCAGCTTTCAAAGACTTAGCAAAACCTTAGCCTTGGTCTCAAGATTTGAGTGGAAAGCAACAATTCAAATGCATTTTGTGGTCTTGGGGTGAATACTGTATGGTGTGTTGTTATTCTTGCAACTAAAATGTTAATGTGATAAATTTCTAGAGCTTTTTACATAGGCTTTTTATCAACAATTAAATCTATGTGACACAAGCTACAAAACATTATGTCTTTGTAAAAACTGGTAAACTGGTAAAACTGGTAAAAACTAAAATAATTATATATTATCAGCCTGGAAAAAATAACACATTCCTTATTTTTAGAAAAATCTGAGTGAATTTTACCAAAGCCCCTTCCCCATATGATAGATTTTAAAATATTTTGTGTATAACGATTCCAAAAGCAGAAAAAATAATTCTAATATATTGTGCATCACTAAAATAAACATTTGAAAGTACCCATGAGATTAGCTTAATATGAACATTTTACTTGTTTCACAAAATGAAGATTGCTCTGATCTGTGCTTTCTAATTTTGTCTGTCTTCTCCAAGGAATCTTCTCACTCTCGTGACACTCAGGCTGTACTCAGCAGGCTCTTCCTTCTATAGTTAGCAGTCGTTTTACAACTCAATAGCAATGACATCATGCCACCTCACTAAAGTCACCATCCAGCTCTGGAGGACCACAGCTCTGACATTAAAACTGAGAAACACATCTCCTCAAAATGATACTGTGTGATGTTTCCAGTCACCTCATCAGCTGTGTACATCAATGGGTGTAATACTATTCAGGCATACAAGCATGCTCTATGATAATTTCTATGATAGAATTGTCTGTTTCAGTATACAGTAATCATTTAAATGATTTCCTGAAATCGGTAAAGAGATATAAGAGATATAACACTGTATGCCAGGTCACGTTGCATTTTACACTTTGCTGGTCCAGTGATGTTGCACTTTCACAAACCTAGAAGCATTTTTTTTTAAATGTGCTGTAGTATGTTGTTAACATAGTAGTTAACAGTTTACAGCTGAATTTGTCATTTAGTTGTCTTTGATATGAAGTCAAAATTAACATTCAAAGCTTAAAAGGATTTTGTTTTTAATTTAATGATGGCACTAACAAAAAAAAACATCCAGCCAATAATATAGGCAGTAATAGTGCATTATGATAACATTTATAGTGTTTTATATGCTTAGGTTCTGTATACTTACTGTATATAAAAATTGGACAAAACAATTCTTTCATGAATACTTGAAGCACTAGTGAAAAACTATTAGACTAGCAGTTTTTGCAAACAAACTGAAATAAAAAGACTAGAAATTCACACACAAACATACTGTTCCTTGAAAACTAGTAAGCAAGAAACAAGTACAATAACGTACTTACTGTATATGCATTATAAACAATGTAATAACATATATTGATATGTTGTATGTCAGATAAATATTTATATATTAAATTTGCTATGTATATTGTATATTGCATTGTATATTGCATTACGTATACAGTATGTTACAGACATATACAGTACACTATATGGGAGCAGATAATATGTATATAGCCTTACCTGCCCCCTGTCTTCAGTGCTGTCAGCTCACTTCAGCTCAGCTCCACTACGACCTAGACTTCTGACAGTGTCTGATATTGGTGTGCTGCCTCACTGTTCTACTAGTTAATAAATCCAGTAAGAATATGTGTGGTTCTCCAGCAAACTCCCTCGTGCTTTGACCCAATGAGTGGCGAAGAGAGGTCTGTCTGTTCGTATTTAGGAGAGGTGAGGGGGCTGAGGGGGGTGAGGGGAGGGAGGGTAATTACAAGAGAATGATTCCTGGGTTTTTTAACTTCCAAGAACTCAGAGTGCCCTTTGATGGTCTATCACACTCATGGCTGTTTTTAAAGGTGAACCCCAGGGTTACATTTTTCTTAACCTCAAATACTTTTTTTCTATTGATTAACTGTCTGATGAGCTGGTTTAGCACCAGCTAAATGAATGGTCAATGGCGATTCAAAACCAATTAAAAGTATTAAATTTCGGCAGGTTCTTGTAAATGCCAGCAGCAGGCAGGTTTCTGTCTAGGGTTCTGTTTTATCAGCTGTTTGGAGTGGCAGAGTTGAGTCAGAGATCCAAATATTGTACATATGGCAGTAGTGCAGTCTGAGACGAGCTAGAAGATGAACATACTGTAGCAAGGGGAACACATTCTGTCTTTGAAATGGAATGACATGTAACAAAATGAAAATAGAAATTAATACTAAAATATATACAGTACTTTCCTTTGTGACTGCAAAATCTCCAATGTACTTTTCTTTAAAAAAAAAAAGCAGTTCCAGTCTCCAGGACAAAAAAGCATTTAAAATGTATTAAGTTATTCAAGTGAACAGTAGAG